TAAAGAAATAAAATATTTATTCATTTAGAAACATACATATATACATTGGTTCGAAAATAAATAAAGTGTGTGCAATTCTACTTATTTCTTTTCAATTCCACTACTTAATTTTTTCTCCGAAATAATTAATGGCTTATTTAAGATCATTTCAACATATAATAAATTAATTAACTTCTTTTGAGACCATATATATATTAAAACAACTAAGTTATATAAAAGTTAACTCAATTAATTAATACTGACAGCCTGATCTCTTTTCATTAAAATGATCATGTCTTAATATATCCAACTCAAAATTAAAATTTTTTTAATGCGTTAGAAATTAGACTTGATAAACTTTTTATATATATGGCCCACATTGTAACTCCTTGTAGATTAATTATAATAAATGTTGCAATCCATGTCATATGTTGCTATCAGATAGCATGCATGTATACCTTCTCATAAAACTTACATATTTATTAATAAGAGATTCTAAATTCAATTTCACTTATTTCATTAGAAGGTAGACTTAATAACATTTTCAAACATGTATGGCTCAATTCTTAATTCCTTGTATAAAATTTAAGATAATTTTCGTAATTCAACCCTGATGATGCTATCATATAGTCTATATATCCTTAAGTAAAAATTAGGCAATTCTTCATAAAAAACTTGAATTCAACTTTCATTATTTCATTAGAAAGTAAACTTAATAACATATAAAAATTACATATTTATTTCATTATAATAAAAATTACATATTTATTCATAGAAGACTCTAAATTCACTTCCGCTTATTTCATTAGAAAGTAGACTCAATAAATTTTTCAAACATGTATGGTTCAATTCTTAATTCTTTGTATAAAATTTAAGACAATTTTTGTAATTCAACATTGATGATGCTACCATACAGCCTATATATCCTTAAGTAAAAATTAGACAACTCTTCATAAGCAACTCATATTTAACTTCCGTTTATTTCATTAGAAAGTAGATTTAATATGCTTTCCATCGATATATAATAGTCATAGCAATATCTAATCTTTTGATATAAAATATTGTTTTAATCCACTATTGTAGATAATAACATCTTTTTCAAAAACAGAATTTTTTCTTTAATATTTAAAAATTCAAATCTTCACTTTCAACCTTTAAAATCCATTCAATAATCATCATTAAATCTTAATAACAATATGTAAATAAAACCCAATATTTTATCCAAATCGATCATGAAAATTAATAAAAGATTTTATAATTTTTCTTGATTTTTTTTCGAAACTTCAACTCTAAATAACAATAACCAACATGATATATTTCTTAAATAAAAAGATAGTATATACTCACTTTTAGGAGATTAACTTGATTGTAACTTTTGATTTCGAATCTCTAATTTGATTTTCCATGGTCATTAACTCTAAGAAAAATAAGGAAGAAAAACTCTTATTTCTTTTCTATTTTATGATAACTAGATTTTTTTTCATTTAATACTTCATTTTTTTTATTAATTAATCTCTTAATAAATTAATGAATTTTGACATTAACCTAACCCAATTATTATTTGGACTAGGGTATTACATAAACTTCACTTGCCACCAAAGCATTTTCTCTAAACAGTTTTAGATGTTCCCGTAACACGAGAACGATGTAAATTGCTTGACAGATATTTAAAGGTTAAACACTTGAACTCATATATCGTTTTTCTTTGACTACGGGGGCATATCTGTTGAGCAGAATTTATTCAAATTGATATTTTACTTCTATATTGAGGTTTCTTCCTAAAATATGTTTGTTAGACTGTTTGATTGCTAGTACTTCCATCTATCCAAAGTGCCGATATGAGATCTATCTGTAGTTTGTATATAAAAGATAACTGTAGCATATGCTTTATAGAGTTCATATTTGAAGCATTATTCATGTCACTTATTAATAAATAAATATCAATTTTTAAAATAAATATAAACTAGTTTTGTTTATATAACTAAATAAATCTAGATTCTATAAACCCATGCTTTATATACTAGTTTTGTTTATCTTTCTATTTTTATAGGACTTGCTAATATTTTTGCTTCTTCAAAGCTCCTGTAGCTTCCTACTAGTCTCAGTTGGACTTCTATTTTCCTTTTCTTATGGAAAAAACGAGTTGTTCCTTTTTTTATTTGGGAAGACAAGGGGATGGAGGGCAGTCTCAGATTTCTTCCATTCTATGCACAATCTCTTATTATATGCATCTTGTAATGCAGACATACATATTCTCAAATTCTTTTTCTATAGTTGAAACATTGTCAGGCAATTCAGATTTAATTTAGTAGACTGAATGTGCATAGTTTGCTTTTTCTCTCTTAACCTGTTTTTAACTGATTTTTTTGTGTGTTCGGGAACCTTCTAGTTGACCTTGACGATTATCCATCTGAAAAGAGCAAAAGGGTCACAAATGTTATGGGGCCTCTGATGGGTCCCTTATCTTCCTGGAGGGAACGGTTAAACACTGAAAGCAAGGTATCTGCATTTCAAATGAAGCCTAATCTTGCAATGGATGGATTAAGCAATGCAAAAGATGTGTCTTATTCTCCAAAAAAAAATTCACACTAAAGAAAGGGAAAAGTCCTTTGAAGATTCAGGCAGTGATTCTGATACTCGAACGCGAAATAATTTGTTTGCAGGAAGCACTGGGAAGAATGTTAAGGGAAGAGAAAGAACGATAAAATGGAAGATGCTTCCGAGTTGCTTCTTGGTACTGCTATGCACCCAACCCTTCATACAGACGTAATCAGTTTGAGGCAAATATTTTGTTTCCTTCATCAGTGTTTATAGAACTAATATGGCTGTCATAACCTTGTTTAATGGAATGGTAAAACTTTCTTGTGTCATACTTAGTATTTGCAAAGCAATTTGAAATTATGAGGCTTCTAGGCTCCTCAGGGGTTTTTAATGGAGACATCTTCTTTGCAGTGAGTGCCACCAAATTTAAGTGTCCCAATATTAAATTTGATGAATGTCATTTTCCAGCTCCAGGATGGTGGATGGATTAGGTACATAAATGGTTATAGAACTATGAACTTATGTCAGCATTATATTTTGATCTTCTGATTAGCATCATCACATCGAGTTCTAACCAGATGTACAAGTTTACCCCAAAAGCTGTTCTTTGCATTTGCATTTCAGGCGTAAAGCTTTTTGGGTGGCCAAACATATTCCAGAACTTAGAATAGGTGATGCTTTTGATGATTGGCTGATAGACAAGATCTAGCTGCTCAGTTGTTGCTTCAGGAATCAAGCGCTTGAGCTGGTAATTATTTGATTGCAGCAATGGTCAAGAAATGATTTTTTGTTTGAAAAGTGTAGCAAATGTAACTGGTAACATCTTTTAGTTGTATCAGAGACCTAAAAACAAATGTAGTCCTGACCAATCTTGCAAGAGAATTTATTGAAAGGGGCAGACCAACCCTCAATGATATTAGCTTGGCCTTTCGACTGCAACAATTGTTTTTCCTACTGGAAGTTTCGATAGAGCTTAGTCTAGATCTGTGGGTAAAATATTTTTAAAACCCTCCACTTTTAGGAGGGTTAAGAACAAGATCAACTGGGTTTCTGTTCACTGTCTTATCTGGCTTACATTTTATATTTTTACAGCCTCTATCTTATCTGTTGTTGCCAAGTTGGACCATTTTTTCTCTGTACTTCCTTGTGCTTAACTTTACTACTTTGGGACTTGTTCTTTGGGAATGGAAGTGGATTGTGTTACAATGTTTTTAGAATTTTTGTTTAATAAAGCACCAGTTAAGTGCTTGTAACAGGACCTCCTACAATTTTCATGCAGATACTTAGGCCTGAAGGAATATTCTTCCAAACATCCAGTAGCCCATCCCATGCTTCACCTCGTAGTCCAGAGGCTCCTGAAATATCTTCCCCTAGATTGAATGATGTGGGGCAACAGCCGGAAGCAGAACGTCCTGCAAATTTTGTTTATGAGCTAATAATTGGTAGTTTTGCTTTATCATGAATGTTTTTTATTAATAATCTGCATTAATACAGGACAGATGTTGTTGAAGTGAAAATTTTCAACCTAAGCAAAGGCAATGGACTCAATTTTTTTGATACAGACAATGCACCTGCTGCTATTGTGGGTCTTGTTGGTCCCAAGGAGTATGAACAATGCGCAAATGATCTGTATTTCTTTGTTCAGGTACTCAAAGAGCAAGAGACTTCGTTTTTTATCTTTTAACATAGAACATGGTCTTATTTAAAGTAACAGCAATTAGGTTGATGATCGGTAATTGATATGAGCTAGGTACTTTATATCTGGTCTAGCGCTGTGAGAAATGAGGGCATCTTAAGGGAGAACATGATTGATGCAGGTTGTTATAGCGTCCAGAAACTTGGTTTTCCTATTGTTGGGCTCTAACTGAAAATTTCGCTCGATTGTTGCACGTCAAAACTCATTACAGTTATGATAGCTCATTCGCATCATTTTTTTGTCTTGTTCTCTCTTGTTGCAGTTTAGCGTTTGTTTGAAGCTGCTGGCATATGCCATATTGATGGATTTTGTCCTGTTCTTGCTGTTGTCTGCATTTCCGGAGATTGGATTATATATTCAAGCGGTTGCACGACGAAAAACATAAGTTCGATTAATTTAAAGCAAATTAGTCACATTTTTGAATTATAGAGTTCAAATGATAAGTCTGGCCAGGCTAGGTATTTTCCCTCAGGTACAATGTTTAGAATTTAGATTCATGTCTACCGTTGACCTTGATTAATTGCACATTTTACAGTGTCAAGATCATCCATTCACATACATGTCCCACTTCTGTAATTCTCCTTTTTCATAACTTCACTTTTCGAGGAAATTGTAAGTAAATCTTGAGATTAGTGAAAATATAATGGAAAGCTAGTTTCTCTTCATCCCAAATTTTACTGTTCAATTTTTTTCCTAATCTTTCATCTAATGGCAGGATGACCTGATGAACCCATATTCAAGTAACAATTCCAAGTCTTAATCCTCTGACTAACAATTATCACGATAGATAATAATTTGAGAAATACCATGTCTAAAATGTTTCTACCATCATGAACAAGATTATACGGGCATCATAACCAAAACAAAACATCATTAACTTAAAAAAAAAAAAAAGTATCAATTAATTCAGGGTCAAACAACAATAGCCTCATCCATCCTTGTTCAAAATTTAAAGCAACTACATAAAAATAGAGACTAACGCAACTACAGCATCCAATGTAATTGACACCCTTCGATTAATGTTCCCATAAAACCTTTCCTTACAAAGATGGCTTAATCTGAAACAACTTCTTAACCCCTCTTAAGCAGAAGCTGCTGCAACCTTCTTCCTAGGTGTTGCTTGAGTACCTAGATCATGATCCAACACAAAAAATTGAAAAAAAAAAAAAAGACTTAAAGTAGAACAGATTCAACAGACTATGTTCATATGCAGAGAAGCTAAAAACTATAAACCAATGAGCATAAGACAATTAGCAGTTTGATACCTTCTCTGAAACCACTCTTGAACCTGCGAGGGACATGGCGTAGATACCTCATCCTGCCGGTACCAGTGGTCTTTCTTCTGATTGCCTTCACACTCCAGTTATCTGAATCCCACAATAAAAATAAAAAAAATTCCCCTTAGATTTAACAATTAACACCTAATTACAATCCATTCACACATTTAATATTTAACCATTATCTGCTCACATGTATTCGTAAGTACATGAAGCCCCATGGTCATTCACATTCATGTAACATTAAAATCAACAAATACAAAGAAACATGTTGACACCACCTCCTGCAAGTATACAAGTTCATACTTTTACAAAGAAATAAATTGACATCTGCCCATTTTTCATTGATCACATTCAAGGGAAAAACAAGCAAGAAACCTATAAATCCAGGCACACAGTCTTGTCAAAGAGGTTAACTTGAACAAAGCCAGACGATTAGCTGAACAAAAGCAAACCCAGATGCGAAAAGAGACTTAATAACACAGTGAACAACGGAAAAAATGTTTAGATACGAAAGAAAGAAGGGGCACTTACATTTCCTCTTACGGGCAGCAGGGAAACCACAGGCAGCGCAACGGCTCTTCTGGAGATGGAAGCTTCGGCGGCCACATCTTACGCATAGAGTGTGGGTCTTGTTCCTTCTCTTACCAAAACTCCCTGTTCCCTTTCCCTGCACATTACCATAGTCATTTCATTTGCAAATATCGAACCAGATCAATGGCAGAAGAAGATGAAGAGTATTTTGTTTTTCGTTTTTTACCATTGGAGCCGACGCAGGGCCCTAAGATATGGTGCTTTTGGCTCTGAAGAAGAAAGAAAGCGGCGACGGGGCTATGATTTAAATGGGGAGGCCAGTGGAAGAAAATAATATGACAGCAACAAGGGTTTTTTACGATTGAGACGTGGCACATTTTGAACGGTTTGATTACTTGGATAGGTCTATCTTGAGTTTTTTCTTATAGTTTTGGGTCAATATCAGAGCCCGATATTAGGCTTGGGTTGGATGGAACACGTGTGGGAAATAAATCAATAAATAAATCCTTTTCCTACTTAAGATAAATCCAGAGCTTTTTTATATGGAGGAAATTATTTTCTTTCGAATGGTCGTAAAATTGTAGTTTTTTTTTTAATTTTTTTATTTCATCATTCAGAAAAGGGTTGAATCTGATGAAAAGCAGAAAAATAATGGTCAAATTGGTTCAGATGATGAACCTGATTGGATCAAAAACTTTGTTGAACAGAGACAACCAAATGAATGACAAGAACAGCAAGAAAAAAGAAGTATGGTTTTGTATCAGAAAAATGCGAAAAAAGATAGTCACATGGATTTATTCTCACGTGATCTAGACGAGGAATGTTTCCAATGGAAACAAAGACAGCAAAAGATCACTAAAGAAAAATGATGTCGAGGACTTGGGTGATGGAGAGTTTTTGCCTGAAGAATATGCAAGTAAAGAGGAAGTTGGTGTTGGGAGTTCGAATTTAGCGGTTGCAGTAGTTGAACTTAGAGCTAGATGTCCAACAGATTCTTAATGCTACCTTGCAGCCTCATAACTAGTTACTTTTCATGTTTTATAGGTGCCCACTTATAATATATATGTTGGTGGGAAAAGAGGGTTTTCTTGACTAATGATGGTTTTTTTTTTTGGTGCAGAAATTAAGTGCAGAGGCCCAAAAAAAAAAAAAAAGGCCAACCAAGGCTTCTTGTGGATGCCCAATGCTCAGAAAACATGAACCAGAAAAACAGTTTAAGAATGAAATTTCTCAGCAAGGGGCATTGGACATTGAAGATCCTGTTCGACTAGGAAGAAATATAGAAACATGTCCATATTGTGGCTCCTGAAGCATGACCACCACTGCTGATCATGTGATTCTTCCATATCAATCACTCCTTTCAAAATCATCACGTGAAGCCCTGGAACTGAATCCCAAGGATAATGTTGTTGTTATAATAGATGAATAAAATTGACATCCCTAGTTGAGAAACGAGGTTAACTTTAGGCTGCTTCTGCTTTAGAAATCAGTTCAGTGGCCCAACTCTTCAGCCTGGCGTCAAAAGTTACCCTTTTAACCATATCTAACTGCTTTTGCTTTCTTCTTCTTTTATTTTCCCTTAAATTCTTAGTACCATTTCTAACAATTCTGGATTTGAATTTATCAGGGAAGAGTGAAGACTCATCTTAGGCAGAAATATTGCCTCACAAGCCATCTGCTGTGATGCTGTGAATGGAACTTCCTTGGTTCCTTTAGGCTATATTTTGTCAAACCATAGGCAAAACAAAGGTTCAAGCTACCTGTTTTAGGTTGGTGGAATGACTTTATTTTAGCAAGGGTAACTGCAAGAAAGTGACTTGACTGTGCAAGCATCGAAATGCACCTTCTCTTGAAATTAATATTTATTTATATTAACAAGAAGCCTCATCATACAACACTACTAGCAAAAATGCTGCTGATTCAAAAGACCGGTAACTTCTTTCACAAAACAGTTGAGAACCTTAAATCTTTCTTCCTTGTTGGATACCGAAAGCTATCCAAACCACCCCTCCCAGACCCCTTCTTTTGCACTGGTAGCTACAGAAAAAAGCACCCAAAAGATCTATTATACACTGACTTTTGTAACAACTGGGAAGTTGATTTAGAGAAGGCAAAGATGAGAAAAAAGAACGATCTCATGACATTGAAAGAGCAAATGAGGGAAGAAGATGAATGTAGTGGAAACTTCATGAACTTTGCAGATAAGAGTCCAGTAAAGAACAAAAAGAAAAATGGAGGGAAAGAGGAGGAAAGGAAAGTGGGAAGTTTACCATTGAGTAAGGGAGAGGATCAATATTATTACAAGAGGAATGGAGGAAGTTATGCATTAGCACAAAAGATGAAGGAATTGGAGATGATGGATGTTGGTGGTATGGAACATGTATTGGATGTGGAAGAGGCGCTCCATTATTATTCTCGGCTTAAAAGTCCAGTGTACCTTTCTATTGTTGACAAGTTTTTCATGGACATGTACTCAGAATTCTCTGTTCCACAGGCCTCTGCCAGCATCAACGGTTCAAAGCAAAGATTCGGATCAGTTAGGTTGTAGATCATGTCTCCCACACCTTTTCTTGTGCATATCAATCTGTTTTCTTATACTAGATTCTTTTCTATGTTGTGTGTTTGTCTGCATTCTTCTGCTACTTTAGCTTTTAGTTCTGTTTCTCTTTGATCGTTATAATTTGCTTGAGCATCTATTGTTACCAATGAAGCATAGAAGTTTCATATCAAATTTTTTTTCTGTGAATAAACTTGTTTCGATAAAGCACAGAGATTGACTGTTAGAATCATTATTGTCAATTGTGCCTTCTGGCATCATGAGAATGTGTAGGTTCCCTTTTAACACATGTATGGATTTTTACTTTCAATGAGGCCTTTTCATCATTTGAGTTCTGCATCACACACTGCATGGTCAGAGGAAATTTTTAGTTTTGGCCTGAATGTGAAAACCAGTTAACTGAGGCCATCAATGAGACCCAGTTACTAGAAAATCTATTTCACTTATATGAACCTCAATAAAGTCATTCCTGTAAGCTGATGTTACAATTACGATGTGACTACAACAGTTCTTAAAAAAACAAAAGCACCAAAGACCTCACAAATTCGGATGAACAAACCATACTGGTTTCCATTCACACTTTTTCTCTCTCATCATGCCATCTTGAACAAAAGTGCCGGATCCGCCTCTTGGTGCCTTCAAAACATGGAGATTTGAAAGCTTCAAAATTGCTATGGTGAAGTGTCGTAAGTGGAGGCATCTGAAGCATATGCTTTACCCATAGTCCAGTTTCTTCCCCTATCATTAGCCTCTGATCATCATAGAGGATCGCTTTACCTTGCAGAAGACTGATAGTACAGTGTACCAAAGTCTGCACCAATTCCCTCATAGGTCATCTCCATTCCTTGATTGTTTGGTGAAGATAATTTTTCAAAAGAAGATGATGCTGCTGCTGCTACTTCGAATGACAGTGAGTTGTAAAATGAAGCTGTTGGAGATGGTGAAACATCAAAAAAAGGTGATGGTGATATTGATATTGATGAGTGGTTCTTGGGACATTTTGATGTCTTTTGGTTAAGAAACTCAGAAACAAGAGTTGGGTGTCCCACCAAAGTTATACAGACAGTTTTGAAAGAATTTGCAGTGGATAATTCCAATGCTATGAGCAACTGGGGAGTGAAATAGAGATAATCAAATTCCAGTATACTTCTCAGACCATACATTTCTTCTGCAACAAGAAAAAACTGCTACAGCAGTTTGCCAGTTTCCATCACATAACTAGAGCATAAGCAAAATCCTCGAAAAAAAAAAGACAAACATTCATTAGCCGTTTTGTTAGTGCTAATCTACGAGGCACAAACATCTAAGATTTTCAAACAAAGTAGAGATAATGAATAAATTAAGGTATCAATAGGTAGTGAGATAATCGAAGGAAAAGTAGATGTAAGTCTTTCAGTCTGGCTGCAAATAAGACTTGTTCTGGAATGAAACAAAGCAGGGAAGTACCGGCTTGGATTACTCCCAATACTAGGCTTGGTAGAGTTGAAATAAGCAACAAAACCCAGATCAAAGATTCACCAAAGAAATGAGAAACCCATCTTAAAAAGCTCTAGGGAGAGATTAAGATGACCACCTCAATGAAGCAATCGTAGCACAGTTGGTGAGTGTTTTTCTTGGAAGAGATCCAAACGCACAAAAGGACTCAAGATTTCTCATCATAGCTGATTCAAGACATTTGGCATCATTGATAATTTTTTTTCTCTTTTATTGATTTCCTTTAAGGATAATATAATAACAGAGGAGATCAAAATACCTTTTTTAACTGAAAGTTCGTTAGTACTGTTACAGTTAACTCTGATCTGGAATTTGGAAATGATCATAGCCGTCGATTTCATAATCCATCAAGATAACTGTTTTATGACCAATTATGATTTTTTTTTTCTGTAAATGAAACATTGAATAGTCTGGGACATATTGGAAATAATGAAACCAATTACAATCTGCAGAACTTTACAATAGCATACCAAAGGATATGTAAATCCATTACTTGCTTTGCCTATTGCTTGTTGAAGAACAAACAAACAAAAATAAATAAATAACATGATGGAGAAGAGAGAGAGGGCGGGTTCATCCCTTGCAGCAATGCAGGTGAATATCATCCGGCAAACTGCTGCAAAACCAAATTCAGATATACTCTCCCTTAAAAATCACCCAAAAAAAAAAAAAAAAAGCCATACCCAAACCCATGATTAGGTCAATCTAGCAATGTGTTTTGGGAGAAGTCAAATTCATAGTTTGACTTTCTATCTTCATCCCATAATCAAGAGCCAGAAGAAGATACTAAAACGTTATGCTCCTTTAAGCGCTTCTGGAAATGAGCCAAACGAGTTTGTAACTGCATGATGGCAGCAGCCTTCTGAGAAAGAATAACATTTAATCTCGATATATAATCGTCCAGCTGGTTCCCAGGTTGGTCTGCTTCAACCAGCAGGTTCATCTCCTGTAAATGTTAAATGCAAATTTAATAAAACATTAAAAGATGTAGAATCCTAGATCATTTGTCCCAAAATCATGCAAGCAGAAGCTCAAACAATATAATAAGCTTACCGACCATTAATTACTGCTTTATGAGTTGCAATATAGCAAACCAATGAGGAAAATAATGTGTTCAGAACTCAGATTATATCAGGGTGAAAAACAAAAACTTAAAAATAAAACGGTCAAATTGTTTACCTCTTTGACGATATTCATAGTCTCCTCCACTTGTTTTCTGTGAGCATTTACAAGATCCTCCTCTTCCTGAGTAAAAGCAACACACAGGCTTTAACATATAAACGAACTTCTTTTCATGTTTCTAACAATAATCAGTCTCTTACAAAAATTACCTGTAGGAGGGCATTCAAATCATCATCAGATTTCGAATGCTTAAAATCATATCTTAGTGGTTCCTTCCATTTGGTCTGACCATTAGGCTTCCGTAACTTGTCCTCCAAATTAGAAAAACTGTATTGATCTGGCTTCCCATTTTTCTTCCCCATCAGTTTTTCCTGCTCATAGGAATCTTCTGATGCATCAAAATCATCTCTTTCATTTTGCTCAGGCCATGGATTGTTAATATTATCCTCATAGGTTGATGAAATTGGCAAAACCGAAGATAGGGGCTGAGCAGTTGATTCTTTCAGGTTTAAGGTGGAGGATAATACATCCTTCTTAGTATTTCCCCCCTTTGAAAGGCTCTTCACCCTGGATGTAGTTTTGCATTGAGCAGAAATCAAATATATGAAAGGAAAAAGCAACTAAAAGCAAGAGCAGAATAACTTTAAAACAGATGCTGAAACAGTTTTTATAGTCAAATTAGTTATATTCACCTATCAGCATATCTTAAGGTGTTCAGAGTGTGTTCACATGACCCTGAGCTTGGTGAAATACAAGATATCATAACAGTACGTGAATTTCCCATAAACGAGTCCCGTAGAACCTCTGTCAGTTTACTGCCTCTGAAAGGAATGTGACCCTGATCATTGTCAAGTGCTCTTATGCACTCCTTCAAAGCAAGCAAGCTCTTGTTGATCTCTGCACCTTCCATTCTGCATCACAAATAGAAATGGCTAAACTAAACAAACACATCCAGCAAAATTAATTAAGTACATATCTAAAGCTTGTTCAACATGAAGGAAAAAAAAAGGGATGCTAGAGCCAAACATCATGAATTGGAACCAAATTTCTTCTGCAAAAATATCAACTCCAGGTGTGTTTAGACTTCTTAAACACCCTTGTACTTTGAAATGTTTGACTTGATAATAATCATTTAAGTGAAATTAATTAAGAAGACTAAGAAGCTAAGACACCTACATGACTTGAAAAAGTTGAGATGATGCAGAAACTCTGGACTATTGGGCATAACATTTTCTCTCCAATATTTTTTCTGTTAGACAAATTTAGCATATATTCAGTTACAATGCATTGTAATCCAACTTTAATATCAGATAGGACAACATTGCTTCTTTATTTCAACTATTGCCTCCATTAATGCATCAAAATATCAAGCTCTGCAACTCAATCTGCTCTATATCCATGGTCATATAATTTGCAATTGAAAGAATGCACTGTACCTTGTCTGCTTATCATTATCCGTAGTATCTGCACCTCGTTCACTTCCAGCCAGATCTATAAAGGAGAGCTTGCCAACAACTCGGGGAGGCTTGCCATCAACAGATTTCTTGATAGCAAGCTGAAGAATGGCATGAGAACGGGAGGATTCCTCATTTGCACCTGTGGTACCAGTACTTCTTGTGGCACTTCCTTTCTCAATGAGCTCCTTAATAGTCTCCACATCTGATACTCTGTACTCTTGCAGACCCACAATGCAAACTTGCTGCTTACCATCCTCCCGCATGCAAAGTTTTCTGCACAAAGAAGGATTAGCTTTCATTGAATTTAGAAACAAATAGCAGTGACTAGATAAAAAGGATGCCTATAACAACTTACTTCCTATCACTAAGGAGATCAAATAATTTTCCTCCATATATCTCAAAGAAGCTCACAAACAACTGAAACCCTTGGTTCCTGTAGGTATGGTGCATCAACCTCAAGATATCCCGAGAAGCTTTAAGGGGAAGGGGCTTCATAGTATAGGTTTTTCCGCTTCCTGAACAAGAAAAGAACTATAAGTGTTGGATGGCTTAAAGCTGTAACTCAAAAATATGAGATGACTCGATGAAAAAGGTAAATTTTAGTATCCAACAAGAAAATTTTGCAGAAAAAAACAATAAAGGCATCCTTCAACTTTGCCAAACTTAGGCGGATAAAAAGAAAAGGCTAATGTCCAACCATAGAGATAAGAGATTTATCCTTACAAATGACCAACAGGAGTATGCCAAAAAAAATTACTGAGAATAACATATTTGGAACGATTTAAAATTATACAAATATTACACTAAAATGTATAAATTCAAAATTTAGGTCATGCAAAACTGATTTCATCATAGTATGTTAGTATCTATCCAATAGTTTCGTGACAGCTATTCACCTGTTTGACCATATGCAAAACAAGTCGCTTTAGTGCGCTGAAAAATTATAGGAACTATAGGCTCCACAGTCTCCCGATAGACCTACAGAAAATGAGACAAAGATAGGCTGAGAAAAAAAAAAAACCATTCTAGGAAATCCATGTTTTGTAATGTATCCTTCCTTTATCCACTAATAATTTAAATCATATACTCACCTCATCATTTGAGACCTCCTCATTTAGCACGGCATCAAAAACAAATTCATGCTTCTCCATGTATTCTGTTAGGTCAACCTACAAAATGTCAAGAATTAAATGCATCAAAACATTTAGTATGAGGATCAATTATACTCAAATATCTACATATGCTACCATGCTAGATGAGTAATTGACCTGTCAAAAGCCAAGTGATAAATAAACACAAAATAAAATGCCATTAGTTTTTTAACATGCTATGGTATAGCATAAAAAACATATAATATTTCTTAAAAGAAAAGACAAATAACCATTTGGCACAGAAACTCTGAAAATACAATTGAACCTACCTTGAGATTGCTGATTGCTGTACATAATCGCTGCATGTCATTAGTCCCACTCACATTTTTTTTAAATTACCTCAGGGCATAGAATTGGGACACACCCATTTGGAGAATCTCTGGGTTCATTTTGATCCCTATGTTCTTATTTCACCTTTGTAGTATGGTATATAGTATTGTGCTTGTAAAGGATAAAACAAAGTTATTGTACCTTAAGTTTAGTCTCATGGACTACTAGGGAATTGGAAAGTGTCTCTATGATATCTTCCTCATTCTTTGCTAACTCCTTTTTATTGAGAGGTCTCTTGCGCACCTGCAGTCAAAACCCCATAGAAACTGAGTCGCAGTGGTAGTAGTAGTGCATGTAGGATAAACATGATGTTGAGCATTATTTTACTTGAGCAAAGCATGTCATGCATGAATGTGGTTCAGCATGAATTCACAAGCTATTAACCAGCATCCACTGCTCTTGCCCGCATTGCATTTCCTTTAGGGTGAAAACAGAGCAAATTAAGAAGAGCTAATCAAGGGTAAATTAGCACCACAAAAACATACCACGACTTTGATCTTAGCAACTGAATTGACCTTCTCTCTATCTGCAGCAAAGCTTTTGAGGAGGCTATTCTCTGGCACACCACTAGCTCTTCCTGTTTGTTTCTTGTTTGAAATATAGGGTTCAAAGTCATCAAAGCTTCTGCCTCGAATATGATGATAGAGAGAAGGACCATCATACAGGTTGGGAACCAGCATCTATCACCAATAAACAAAAAGCACTAGCATAATTAAACATGAAAAATTAAATTACTCCCAATATGAATTTTTAATTTTCCAATCACTTGGCAACCGCAAAAATGAATCTATCCAAAGCAGATGCAATCAAATCTCTAAAGTTTAACCTGCATACTTATTGGGGAAATAAAAGTACAAAGATCTTTCAAGTTCATTAATGTTTCATATTTGATGGACAGGAGTACTTAGCATGGACTGCATATCACACATAAATAAAAGATGTTAACCATAATTATTAAATGTAAAATCAACATTCACTAAATGACTATAACTCCTAGAAAAAATGATGAAGGACAAACCTCAGGCAGAAGCTCTGTATCAAAAGAATGCAGATCCAAGAGACCAGGACTGAGCTCATTGGGCGAGTCTTCACCACTCTTACTCTGGCTTGATGGCCGTGAACTAAATGGAGGAGTGGTAGGATCCGTGAAAAAGTTATTCCCCGTATTAAAACCCCTCTGCAAATTCCTATACATTCTAGACCCTTGTCCTCCTCCACCGCCAAAAAACTCACAATCCTGCTTTCAAATCAAGCGGCAAAATAGCATAATCAAGAATTCCAAATAATAACCACATATGTACATTGTAATGAATATTGATCCACAAATATCTAGAAGCTAACCCTTTAATGAAAATCTTCTCTTTCTAATTTTTCTGAGCATTTTTTTTTTACTCTTCTCTTTCTGAATTTTCTGGGCATTTCTTTTTACTCTTCAAGTAGTAGAACATCAATAGAGCATCAAAAGTTTTAACAGATTAATAAAAAATTTATCTTTTTCTTTAATCTTTTTTTCTTTCTGGCAAAGCGATTTTAGATCTACAAAAAAAATTAAGAATTTATCCATAAAGAGGAAAACCCATTTATGCTCCAATAAAATGGCATCTGCAAAAACTACATTTTGATTTTTTTTAATAAAAAAAAAAAACTTACAGTAGTCGGCTTTCTCACAGTTTTCATTTTCCAAGCAACGAAATAAAAGGGTAAGAATTGAAATTATGTAATTAGATCTATAAAAGATTCACACATTTTCAGTTTGTACTTACTAAAAATAGTAAATTTTCTATAAAGAAAATAGATTGCCATTTTCATCTTATTTTTCTAAATATTATCCTGAACCAAAAATACAACAAAAATTGAAAAAGAGAAAAAGTGTGAAGACCTGAAGAGGAGGAATAGAGTTGTTAGAAGAGTGAAGATGCTGAAGACCAGCAGACTGAAGCCATCTACCATTCGACGTCGTTTCCAAGAAGTTATCTGAGTATTGTCTCTGATGGTGCACCTGCACTCCTGCCGCACCAGATCTCTGCCCCTGTCTACCCATTCCGTTCATCTCCTAACTCTCTCCCCTCAGTCAATTATTTATACTGTAATAAAAATTTAAAAAAAAAAAAAACTTCGATGCTTCGATTCAAAGCTTCCCTTTCTATGTCCTTCCTTGGAATGAAATTAATAAAGAAAATGCTATGCACCCGATCACCCAATTAACACTTAATCGGATCTCAATCGGGTTTTTTTCTTTAGTTTTGGTTTTCGACAAGATTCAAAAGGAAGAGTAAAAAAGATGAGGACTCCTGAATCAGAGGAGGAGGAGGAGGCGAGAGAAATTCTTTATTTTTGAATTTTGAACAGTTTGGAGACAAGTGTGGCACGTGCCGTGGCGTGAAAGGAGAGTGGAAATAACGACGATTCGTTGAGCCTGGGCCCTGGAGTGGCGGTGGTGGGCCTATCGGCAACCACCATCCCACATGGTTGGGGACCATATTAACCAGTTGCGCGCTTTTGAGTCTTCTCATTCAAAACTCCCACTTTGGAGGGATATTTTGTAAAGGCTGTGTGGAAGGATGATAAAATTGATTTTGTTGATATTAAAAACAGTAAAGATGTTAAAATTATAATTTATAGTGAAGTATATATGTTTGAATGTAAATTTACGATAATAATAAAATTAAATATAATAAAAATAAAAATAATTGTTAAAATATTATATAAAAACAATATATAATAAAATTTATAATATATGATTATTTTTATTTTATAATAATTATATTTTAAAAAATTAATATATTTATACATCTTAAAATAAAAAAATAATATTTATTTACATTATTGTTTATATAATTATTTATTTTTTAGTTTATTAAATAATTATATAAATAATATTATAAATAATTATAATAGATTAATTTGAAAAACTTTAAATTAAATAATAAAATAATAAAAAATAAAGCTATAAGTGACTAATCAAAGGTCGAAAAAGAAGAAAAGTGGCAGGATATATCCACCATTCATTTTAATCTAAGAACAGAAAGAGAAGAAAAAGGAAAAAGCAAGGAAATTAAAGACAAAAAGAAAAAAGCAGGGTGAAAAACTAAAAGTTTCACCGGAAGGAAAAGTAGCAGTGGCTAAACACAGCTTTAGTCCAGTTAAAAGCATCTAATCTTCATTGAGATAGTGTATCAAATGCAGAATCAGTGCGTTTATGAGCTTTAATCACAGTTTACCAAAGGTCATTGGCATCCAAACGGGACATTATGAAAGGTGAATTAAGATGCATCAGAGGTGCAGTTAAATTTAAAAAATCACTAGTAAAAATCAATGAGAAATTAATAATTTTGATTAAATGTAGTACAAAATTTTTATTGAATCTTTAGGTCCAATGTAAATTTTTTTTAATCATGACTACAATAATTTTAATTACTATTTTTTTTCCGTGAAATTATTCTTTCTACCCATCTAAATATACCCTAAATCGATCTCCAACATGCTTCAAACACGGCCCGTGCATCAGTCCATGTCCAAGAGAGTAGAGATTCGGCCCGTGATACCGCAACAATATGCTTACTTTGTTGCCTTGTCCGTCCGAGCTTTGCAACGTGGAACCAGAACTAAAGGAGAGAAGTTTCTATAAATTTCCTTCCCCACCGACTAAAAACCAAACACACACCTTTGAATCTTCATGAAACTTCTCGAACAAATCAATCACCACCAGCTAGTGCTTCTTTTATTCCCTCCCAGGCTCCCACCCTTTATTCGTTCCACATAACTCAAATCTGACGAAACCGAAATACGCTTCCGCTGCTTTCATTGAATCAAATCCACAAGCATCTGGCAGCTATGGCAGATGACGGAGCCGTAACACTCTACAACAACACGGCCATCACCGACACCAAGAAAAACCCATTGTCAATCAAAGTGGGCCTGGCCCAAATGCTCCGTGGCGGCGCCATTCTCGAAGTCTCAACCCTCAACCAATCCAAAATCGCCGAAGAAGCCGGTGCGTGTTGTTTAGTCGTCACCGAACCCAACCGCCAAGGGATTGCACGCATGCCGGATCCTTCTCTCATCAAACAAATAAAACGCGCCGTTTCAATCCCCGTCATGGCTCGTTGCCGCATCGGCCATTTCGTTGAAGCCCAGATACTCGAACGAGTCGGAGTCGATTACATTGACGAAAGCGAGGTTTTAGCTGTAGCTGATGAAGATAATTTTATTAACAAACATAATTTTAGATGCCCTTTTGTTTGCGGCTGCAAAAATCTCGGCGAAGCGTTGAGGAGAGTGAGGGAAGGAGCTGCCATGATTAGAACACAAGGTGACTTGTTAGGGACTGGTAATATTGTTGAAACGGTTAAAAACGTCAGGTCTGTGATGGGTGAAGTTAGGATTTTAAATAACATGGATGAAGATGAAGTTTTCTCGTTTTCCAAGAAAATTGCTGCCCCTTATGATTTGGTTGCTCAAACTAAGCAAATGGGGAGGCTGCCAGTTGTGCATTTTGCTGCTGGTGGAATTGTGACTCCGGCAGATGCTGCATTGATGATGCAGCTAGGGTGTGATGGTGTTTTTGTGGGATCTGAAGTGTTTGATAATTGCTCTTATCCGTATAAGCGTGTTCGTGGGATCGTAGAGGCGGTTAGGCATTATAATGATCCTCATGTTTTGGTCGAGAATAGTTGTGGATTGGAGGAGGAGATGGCGGGGCTTAACGTTAGTGAGGAAGGGATGGAAGGGTTTGGAGTACGAGGAGCTTGATCAAGGAATGTATCTTTCTTTTGGTTGTTGTTGTTGTTGTTGAAGAATATGAGTCTTTTTTTTTTCTCCTTACAGCTGTTGTTGTTTTAGTTTTGCTAAGGTTATGGTTTGGATATGCTGTATTTTGCATGTTGAACTCTTTGAGGATATAATACAGAAATGAACTAGAATAAGTTGGTTAATCAGTCTCTCAAACTGTTTATGTAATTACATTTTTGGTTCTCACTACTTAAATGTAGATGAGATTGATTCAGTAGCTTTTTGCTATTGAGTGATTACGGATTCACAGTATAGCTATCTTGATCACTGCCCTGATTAAGAAGTTTATTTGTTTTGTGTAATTGAACATTTTTTCCCTTTTATCCTAGACTAACATATAGAATATCTGCTCTATGTGTTGTATTTTCGTTTATGCTTTATTTAATTATTGCAAATTAACTTTTCTGAGAGCTAACAGCGAGGAGAATTGGAGCTTGTATATAAGTTTTGTTTGTTTACTAGTACAATTGCATATATGGTAGGACCATATTGTTATCAAGATAACGAAGACTACACTGAGTTGCCTAATTCAGTTCTGAGCCTATAGCCAATATTGACCATTGTTAATTAGTCCATAGCCTTTGTGTATGCTCCATTTACAGTTTACCATGTAGGATGTTATGCAAATGATGCATGCTAATGTCTTCAAAGAGATGGATCCAGTAGAGGTGCTGCAATTAGGGAATATGATTTTGAAAGTCATTGCTATTTCAAATTTATGGTTGTACATGTAACCCATTAAATATTAATGCATTTTTATTGGCATCTGTAAAAAGAGTTTTTGAACTTTGAATGTCATTTATCTAAATAACAGGCATAAAGATTGCACTAGCATGCTGGGAACATCTCATTTTAGAGGATGTGATGTTAGTCTAACAAATAAGATCATGTACACATGCTTTCTTATTTCAGTTTGTACTAATAAAACCACACCCAAGTGATCTCAAGCCAATGCTATACTCCAGGCTTATTTAAAAGTTTTTGAATTTACTGAGTGGTACTGATTCTCTTCCTCTCTTTATATGCCTTACTTGTTGTTTGCCCTGTTTTTACCTTCTCTGAAACTTCTTGGTTTTCCTGGCTTAGATATTCTAACCTGTGTTTAGGGATGGCAAACCCACCCGTAACCGGCGGGTTCAGACCCGACCCGATTGCTTAGAGTTGGTTTTTTTTTTTCTTTAATAGGGTTTTGGGTTGAATCCAGTAACAAAAAAAAAAAAATTTTCAGGTTTGGGTCAGGGTTAGGTTTTAGGCAAACCCGCCCCAACCCGATATATATTTATAAAACAATTATTTTTAATTATTTATTTAATTTTATATTTGTATATTTTTTTATATTTATTTAATTTAAATTTATATTAAAAAATAGTATTTTATTAATTTCGAATCAGGTCGGGTTAGGTATGATTTTATACAATATCAGGTTCAGGTATCATGGGTATAAAGTCGGATTAGATTCGAGACGAGTAAAAGCTTGCTCCGACTTGACCTGATACCATCCCTAACTATGTTTATGTAGAAGACCAAAGCAGAAAGGTAAGCAACAAAGCAAACTTTATCTCATCAGCACTCTATTTTCCCTGTTGCTTTGTCTTGATTCACTAATCTATAAAAATTGCAGCATAATGGAGTTGTAGCATTACAGTTCCAAGTACTGTGAGCAGGCTAAGCAGATTGCTGAAGAGGCCAAATAATGCTCCATGCTTGTTCACTCAGGGACACAAGGATTGCTGATATATCTCTAGTTAAGCTAATCAAATGAGCTTTAATGACAAGGAGTATGTGTTGAACAATTTTGGAAGTCAGATAATACTAGAAACGACCGGTGTAGGCTACATTAAAAGAGAGTGAACTGAAATTCGATGACCATAAGAAATGGGGTGTGGATATGATAAAGTGATAAGATGGAGCATGTCCGGGTTGGATTTATATTATTTGACAGTATGGGTGAGGATAAGATGCTTGCATTATCAAAGATGATGGGTGCTTCCTCAGCTAGTGGCAGAAAATGGAAATATAGTGGATGGATCTCTGTGACCCTGTTGGACCGGTTTTGGCAGGTGAAGCTCAGGTTGCTGATGGTGTGGCACTCATGATGTGAGAGGGTGCTATGGAGGCATATAGGGTCAGAATTTTTCAACTGTCCAGGTGTATCTCAGTTCGGCCATGTTGGCCGTTAAAAAACTGTGATTATATGCACTAGCGTAGGTCAGCTGGGGCTGGATGATTGCTGATCACGCTCAATGATTTGGAAGCAAAGGATGGAAGCGAATTGAATGTGTTTATTTTATAATGCATTAAACAAGGGTCCGGATTGTTTATCGCTGAATATAGAAGATGTTTCTCCATAGTATCTGAATGTATAATGCTGAAGGAATAATGTAGAATGAATTGGTCAATTAATCTCATTCCTTTTTGCATAGAGGTACATTTTTATTCTAGATCGTGTTCTCTGGATGAATGTTTCCATTGTTGAATAAACACCTCAATGCAATAATTAAAGCAGAAAATGTAGCACCATTGACTACAAAAGCTCTAGTGACAGCGGTTCCTAGCCCTCGCCATACAACGCCATATACCTCCTGTTTTACACTTTTATGGAGGCAATTAATGGTGCTATTGTACTTTTGCGAGGAGGATGGTGACTGAGCCTGCAATCTGGTTTTTACAGTATCTAATGGATAGCAAAAAATCCAGCTACTAAGCCCTGGTAAACCTCCTGCTATAAGCATCGTTCTCAGGCTTCCTCGGCCGCTCTTTCTGCACACTGGGTGAAGCTGTTCTCGCGTATATACATTCATACGTCCAATAGTTGAAGCCATGAGAAGGTCCATCTCTAACGGCGGTGATGGTAAACCTCGCTATAAATTTTAATTTGATTGACAATTTCTTCTGCTCACACTCTTCCACAAGTATCAAATACAGCACCATTCCAACTCCCATCTTTATTGGCAATATCTAAAGCCTAACTCTTGCAATAATATTCAAACTAAATGTTAGATTTGATCATTTAATATATGATATGATGACATAATATGAATATATTATAAGATATATATGTGATAAATTAAAATTTTAATAAAAATTATATATAGGTTTAATAAAAGTCAAAAAATAAAATTTTTATTTTTCGTATTGACATAAATTATGATACGTAATTTTCGTATAAAATATGATATGAAAAAATAAATTATAAATCAAACAAATACATAAATGATTAAATTTATATATCACTACAATATTGTTCTATTTATGCTAAAATTTTGATGCCAAATCGGCATCAATTTTAAACCAAGAAACTTAAGAAACAAAGACAGTTAGAGGTTGTTGGAATTTGGCTTTCCAAGATCAAGTAAATACGAGAGAGTAAAATAATGACACTTTGTGGAAAGCCAATTGTCAAATGGTCTAAAATATCCTAAAACACTGTCCAACAACTATTACAATTCAAGATTCATGAAAATCAAAGTGTTTATCATCCTCTAATCCTTTTTCATTTTTATTATATAAAAAAGTTATAGTTTAAGAATATAAAAATGGTTATAGATTTTGAAATTCAAGTTAACTTTTTAAATGTTATCTCTTAACAATAATCATATAAATCAATAGAGCTAAATTTTATTTCGTTTTTCTCTTCTTAATAAATAATTAAGTTTCCTCCATGGGATCCTTAGAAGCCTTTTGTTTAGGTGTTTGGGCTTCGAATTGAGTCTAAAGCCTCGTTTGGATGCAATCGAAGATTCGGTGGGGGCCGGCTGCCATTCATTTTTGTACCAATTTGATCGATTGAGATTCAAACGGATCTTAAGCGCGGCACGTTTGGCTCTAGTCACCCACTAAAATTTTTTTCTCCCGGTGAACGCACTCATAGCCTTTTTTTTTGTGTTTTTTTTTTTTTTTTTTTTTTGGTCTCTTAAGTTAAGTTGCAGAGACAAAAAAATCTTTGCCCCTTAACTTTTTTTTAAAATTTTTTAGTTTTATTTTTATTTAAAAAATTACAATATAATAAATAATTATTATATAATAAATTAATAAATGAATTTTAATTATTTATTTTCAACATTATTCTTTAACATAAAAATAATTTAATATTTTTAATATTTTATTAATTTTATAAATATTAAATAATTAAAATTGTTAATATATATAATTTTTATTTAATATGTTTAACAATATTTTTTTTATTTTTGTTACAATTTAATAATTTATTTCATCTTCATTATTATTTTTCATCAAAATATATATTTTATAATTGATTTTAATTTTATTATTATAATAATGAATTTTACTTTTACGATTAATTTAAATCTCACTAAAATTAATCTGATTATTCAACCACCTGCATCTTAAATCCCATACATGATCCATCAACCAATGGTTCCTTTCAAAATAAAATTCTTTTGGCCAAATCTTTCAAAATAAATTCAACAACGTATAAACCGTGGGAAAACAACAGGAGAACAAGAAAAAGAGAGACAAAAATAAAAGAGCTAAGGGCGCATCACCGTGATGGCGTTGCTAACAACTGCTACAATGACAAAACCTCTCTGATTTCTTCCTCTTCGTTTCCTTCTTCTAATTCTACCTCAACGTCAAGCTCTTCCATCAAATTTCAACTTCAGACCCACAATTTTAGCCGTCTCTAAGTCTTGCCGCCGCGGGCTTTTCGTCGAAATCCTCGGACAAGTTACAGTGTAAGGCAGAAACATGTTGTTTGCATGGCTCCCAAGGAAGAGAAAATGACTCGTCGTTTCCCCCTCGATTTCCCCATAGTAAGTCTTTTACAAATCTCTTCGTCTTCTTCTCTCTTTGAATTCTATTTTTTGAAGTCTTATAAATGTTTTCTTTTTTCCTTCAAGTTTTTTATGGGGTTTCATAATTTTTAGGAAGAGACCCTTTTTAATATAAAATTTCTTTGATAGTGGGTGATCTGGATTTGTTTAAGAAAATGAAATTTGCTATCTTTTGCCAGCAACCATTAATAGCTGACTCTCCCTGGTTTCTAATGTTAAATCATGTAGCTAAAATGATGAACCAATGTTCACTATAATGTCTTGTAAGTTGGTTCGTAGTTGGATCAATATGAATGTTTCTTAGTTGGACCATAATGTTTATATTGGAGCTTTTCTATCATAGAATTTTAGTTTTGAAGGGTAGATGATGCTGGAATATGAATGTCTCTTAGTTTGATGGGAAATTTGGTTATAGACCAATTTAATGATGTTATTAATAAATCATTTTCAGCACTATGTAGGATAGCTATGCTTAAGAATTTGACGAACTGACCACTTGAATTTTAGTTTTTGAAGGCTAGGATGATGCTGGATTATGAATGTCTCTTAGTTTGATGGGAAATTTGATTATATACCAATTTAATGATGTTATTCATAAATCATTTTCAGCACTATGTAGGATAGCTATGCTTAAGAATTTGATGAGCAGACCACTTAATGTGTTGGGCACCCTTCATTTTTAATTCATTAGAGGGTGGGGGTGTGATTGAGCTCTTTTTTTTTATTGTTATTCATGACACTGGTGTACTATCTTTGCTGCAAGTTCCAGCGTTTGAGCTGACAATAATATTTCCTTCTCACTATGACCTTGTAAGTGTAATGTGATACCGGTTCTTCTACTTGTTAGTTCACCTTTCATCAAAGAGCTACTTTTGTCCTTCTTGCATTGTGTGATGTTGGAATTCATAATGACAATCTGTTGCCTCATTATTGTTTTAGCTTATGATTATGCTGATATAAGGAATTTTTTTAGTCCTATACTTTTTCAAACGTTAAGTGTAATCAATGGATGCGTTCTTTTAGCTTGTTTATTATTGGAGAAGTGAATTCTATATTACATGATCCAATCACTGGGTATAAAGGCTTCTTTGGCATGTCAGTTACAGAACGGCAGTAAATAACTCACCTAAAGAATGCCTATGTATGATTCATGGTTGAGATCTTACGCTTAACAGGCATGATGTCATCCAACCTTTACTGTATAGAGACTCGTATGTTTTCCCTGATTGTGGGCATGGGAACACTAATACAGACATGAACTATAAAACCTTCTTTGTTATCTTTATAAAACCTTTGGTGTGGATTTTAACTTGGTTTACTTTGTGGTGAATGGCTTGTTTTGGAAAGTTGGCAAGTCTCGAAGTTCACTGAGCTCATTGCTTATCTATCGATAGTGCTGTTTTGGTGCACCTACATTTCATGTTATATAGATAGCTTTAGTAAGATTAGTAAGATTTAGACATTCTATATCCTCCTACCATTCTGCTCATCTTGTGTGCATTGACTTGATGTTGAAAGAATCAGAGAGGCCCAAACCTGGGCGCAAAATGAAGAACTGGCAATGCCAGAGAAGCAATAATGGAGGAATGCAACTTCCTTGACTGTCTTGACAACTTGCTTTAACCTATCCTACAGTTGGTTATGCTGATATCTAAGCATATAGACATGAGGAAAGCAAAATAAACTTTTGCTACGGCTCAAAATGTGATGCAATCTTGCTCTTCTTGGCTTTGTAAATGCACTTTGAAAATTTTGGGGTGCATGATTTTGAATCCATTTTGTTAGATAAAGAATATTAGATATGGTTTCTTTTTGGTGAACAAGCTTGGTTGTGTGGTATTCATTTAATAATTGTAAAAAATATATTCATCCCATTTTGCTTCTCTGAATGAGACAGACTGCCATTCTGTTCAATCCTAGGGCATTTCAGCACCTGATTATATATGGTTCATTACCTAAAAGTGCGTCCTTTTTTTATCGTTTTAAATTTTTGCAATAACAAAAATGTTGAACTTTAGATGCACAGTTGTAGCCTCTAGGTAGCCAAGAAAGTCAATTTCCCTTAATCCTAAATGAATGAACCATGAAATTTAGCATCCTTAGTCATTAATAACGAAATTATGCTCCAAAAATACGTTGCTCCACAATAGAGAATACCGCTTAAAGTTATTGAATACAACAATATTTTTTACAATTTTATAGATTGAAGTTAAAGTTAATGTGCTAAATACTCACTTCATCCAATCACGAGTAATGCTCAAGGGAGAACCAATATTTTGATAATTCATGTGAGAAACAAAATTCTTTTAACTCAGACAGTTTCAAATTTCACCATAGAAGAATAGCATCTCACATACGCTTAAGGCTCTATATTGAAATGAAAATTCATGATGCATCGCAGAGCAAGCGAAGGCAAGGTCAGATTATCCCGGGTGCTTAAGGAATCAGATTCACAAGCCAATTTCAGGTATTAGCAAGTCACAAGCTATAGGAGATTGAAGAACACACAGACAAAAGCAAAAACATAGAGCTTAAGTTTTACATGAGGACATTCGACACAAGGTTTTATAGACCATCACACTAAAACAAAAGATGTGATCATAATACAAGTAGTAATCCCAACACAAGGCTCAATAGTTTCCGTTTAGCTGGGTTTTTAGACCCTCATTTCTTACCACTCTTCTTAAGACCAGCACCACCAAATGACCCCTTCTGTTGTGCCTTTGATCTCAGCTCTTTAAGTGCCTGCTTATCACAGAGTACAGATCAGATTGGTGTTTCACGAAACATATTTTTAGAAAGAGAAAAAGAGTTAGAGGGATAAACAAAAACTGCATGAGTCAAAAACCCAATATCTCACCTTCTCTTCTTCCTTCTTTTTCTGAATGTTAGCCAAATCATGCTGCCCAATAGCAAATAAATTGACATTAGGGATATGCCTCCAAATAGAATTACTTGAATCAACAAAATTCTTTGGGATGATACAAAATCTTGGCAAATGAAAATAGACCATGAATACGAAGAATTTAATCTGAAAAGTTTTGCATAATTTTGGGCCCACTTATCACAAAAATAACTGAATTCTAAGATTGAACAGATTGCAATTCACCATATAAAAGCACAAATTCCATACGGTTAACATGATTTTTTTTTTCAATTTTGTCAGTTAACAGGATATCATATCTTGAGACAAAGTAAATATGAACAAAAAATATTATAATAATTCAAGATATGCAATTTTTTTTTTGTTTTACATAATAGATCGATTCAAATAATATAAATAATTGTAATACCTCGTCGTATTCTCTCTTTTCAGATTTGGGTTGTTTCAAAGGCTTCACTTTGCCACCTAAGAAAAGCCCCAAAGACAAACAGATCAAAATCTTTGAAATAAACAGCAACAGCCCAAAAAAAGAAGTAAAAAGCTCTTTTGAGAAATTTGACACATCGAAATTGGCAAAAGTCAAGGTCTTTGAACGCGTAAATGAGACTACCTTGCTTGGACGACATGGTTGGCAGTTTAGGGTTAGGGTTTTGCGAGTGAAATTTAGAAGAGATCAGAGAAATTGAGAGAAGAAAAATAAAGCTCTAACCCTAAAACACAATTATTGAGAATTGTGGCATCTTGTAAAATCCCCGTATAAATAAAGTAAATTTCCACGCGCGTAGTAGGGCGTGATTAATTGCTGCCTCATATTAATTTTTATTAAATTAAGTTAAAATCATTAAATTAATTAAATTAATTTTAGATTAGCTAGCGTCATAATATGTACATGGAGAATCGAAATCAAATATTAAAAATAATAATTTGACGTCAAGTCATAATCTTTTAAAATTTGGCCCAACCCAATCCTTCGTGGTCTTTAATTGAAATGCGATTATTAATTAAAGGCTTTGTTGTCTCATTTGAATCAAATAGTCAACTACTGATCTAGACCTCAAAGTTGATCAACAGGAAAGTACTGTTATTAATATCAACAACGAAATTGTGGTATACATTAAAAGACATTTAACTAAGCTCTACTCTTCCTTGATGGCTACAAGAGCAAGAAATCTTATCCTCTTCTGTCTTTCATGCCTTCTTCCATGGCTCTCCAGACCTACTTATTCTCAGACAGCCACAATAATGCAAGGTCAACAGCTGAACCATTATCAGCAGTTGGTTTCAACTTCTGGGATGTTCAAGTTAGGATTCAAGTCTGTCCACGAGAAGAATTCTTACTTGGGAATATGGTACTATGGAGAAGATGACAATCTAGTTTGGGTTGCGAATCGAAACACTCCTATATTTGGCACTTCTGGGATTCTTGAAATAGATGATCAGGGCAACTTAAAAATTTTACATGAATCTGCTGAACCTGTGGTATTGTATTCGGTTGAAAAACCAAGTAACACTAGTGCTACTCTAGAGGATTCTGGCAATCTTGTGCTACATGATTTGAATTCGGATGGATCTATGAAGCAGGTTTTATGGCAAAGCTTCGATCATCCTACAGATACGCTTCTTCCGGGGATGAAAGTGGGGATGAACTCCAAGACTGGTCTCAATTGGTCTCTGACATCATGGAGAAGTGATATGTCGCCTGCATCAGGGTCTTTTACCCTGGGGTTGGATCCTAGTGATAAAAGTCAGTTGATTATATGGTGGCGAGGGGAAATCTACTGGAAAAGCGGGTCTTCGCTGCAAGGCTTTCTCTTGGCCTTATCCAATAGTTCCTACGATTTTGGTTACGTTTCAAATGAGAATGAAACATACTTCAATTACACTGTGAAGAAAGCTGTTACCATTTTCCCAAGGTTAAAACTGAATTCAGAGGGTGAACTTATGAGTTCCAAGGCGGATTCTGTGGTTTCAGAAGTTTCATGTACTAAAACCCAGAGCACAGGGTGCTCGAATCAGAAGATACCTGAGTGCAGAAGCTTGGGACTTAACATCTTCCAGCATCATGTGGGTTATATGTCCAGCACTGGATTTAAATTCAGCGAGAGTGACAACCTGTCTCGTATTGATTGTCAGGCTGAATGCTTGAATGATTGTTCTTGTGTTGCTTATGCTTCGAAAAATGATGATGGGACTGGCTGTGAGATTTGGAGCACTGGAATTAGTTTTACAGAATCTATAACCAGAGAAGATCAGCTTGATGTCAAGCGCGATATATACATTCTTGAACCAAGAAGTAAGTTTCAATTTACTTCAATATAACAGTTGAACTTTTATTTAAGAAAATTTGATGATCTGAGTGTGCATTTCAATATGGTAAAGCCTTCAAGAATATTGACTAGAATTGATGAATCATCTCTTTCATTGCTCCCAATTTATTAGGAATTTTGAATCCATTGGTCACAGATTAGGCTTCTTTTAAGACTATTGTCTTATTTCTAGGGGTGCATACGTCCATTTATTTCAAGGCATAGCATTTCATGAGTTGACTTTCTGACATCATGAATTAATGTTTTCTGGTTCCAGAGAACAAGTGGTGGATATGGCTGATCATTGTGGTTGGAGGACTTATGGTTGTACCCCCATTATGCTCAATATTTTACATCATATGGAAAAGGAACAGAAGAAGAGGTAGTTATCCTTAAAAAGAAACTAAACTGATGATCTATTTTCTTTTGATTGGTTCTTTTCCTGCCCAAGTTAACAAAGATTTCTTGCAACTTATTTAGGGGAAGGAAAGATGAACCAAAGGACGCTGTTAAACGAAATCGGGGGCGGTGCAATGCCTTCACCCTCAAATGACAACGTGATAAGTCACAAAAAAGATGGACATGATAATCAGTTGGATGTATTCAGCTTTGAAAGCATTGCTGCTGCCACAAACTATTTTTCAGTGGGAAACAAGCTAGGAGAAGCCGGCTTCGGTCCTGTTTATAAGGTGGTAAATGATATCCTGGAACCATATTTAAGACTCATTAGCAATTACTAATGAGATCATTTCAGGGAATACTTCTTGATGGGCGAGAAATAGCAATAAAGAGGCTTTCAAGTCGTTCCGGGCAAGGACTGCTAGAGTTCAAGAATGAAGCCATACTCATTGCAAGACTACAGCACACCAATCTTGTGAGGCTTTTAGGATTTTGCATTCAAGGGGAAGAAAAAATATTGATCTATGAATACATGCCCAACAAAAGCTTAGATTTCTTTATCTTCGGTAGGCCATCCTGTGAGTTTACTATTGGCTGCGCACAATTTGATCATAACTGTTGTATACTGAAGTTTTCTACATGATGCAGATTCTGATAAGAAATACATGTTAAATTGGAAGAAACGCTTCAACATAATTGAAGGGATTGCTCAAGGACTAATTTATCTCCATAAATATTCAAGACTCAAAGTGATTCACCGAGACTTAAAGGCTAGCAATATTTGACTTGACGACGAGATGAATCCGAAAATATCTGATTTTGGCATGGCCAGAATATTTGGATTAAATGAATCTGAAGCAAATACTAAAAGAGTTGTTGGAACATAGTAAGTATAGTGAATAAGCAGAAATTAATTTGTTTTTTTTTTTCTTTTTTATTTTCAAATAATGAAAAGTATCCCTGATTGTTTTGTTTCTCCAGTGGCTACATGTCTCCAGAATATGCCTTTCATGGCATTGTTTCAATGAAAACTGACGTGTTTAGCTTCGGAGTCCTACTACTGGAGATTGTGAGTGGCAAGAAAAATAATTGTTGCTATCATTCAGATCGTCTACTGAATCTTATAGGTTATGTTTGTACTTCTTTCTTTTTTTCTCATTTGAAATGAGCCTTTTGTTGAAGCTACAATTTCCCTATATTTCTGATTTCTCTACCATGATTTTCATCAGGCATGGCAGCTTTGGAATGAAGGTCGAGGTTTAGTACTTATAGATCCAATATTGGATGAACCCTGCTGTCAAAATGAAGCACTGAGATGCATTCATGTTGGTCTCTTGTGTGTACAAGACCGTGCAAGAGATAGACCCACAATTCAGGATGTTGTTAATGGCTTTCAAATGAAACTGTACAGCTACCAGCACCGAAGCAACCAGCTTTTTTCATTTATGCAGCCGAAGAAGAGCCAGATACAGCTGAAATCAAGTCAAACAACTGTTCCATAAACTATGTATCAGTCTCAGTGATGGAAGCAAGATAACCTGCAGTAGTATTTACAGATTTAATTATTGCCTAGAAATAATGAAGGATTTAGAGCAGAGGAAGAACAAAAAAACAGAAGAAGCTGTGGAAAAATGAGAGTATATTGAAAACTTGTGTATTGAATCATACAAACACCATAGATTTAAATACAGCTAGCTAGAGAGTAAACTAGGAAACTAAATATTCCTAAATCTAATCCCTATAATCAAGGAATTGTCTATCTTGATATTCTGTCCTTAATTCTAGAGATACAAATTCTCAATTTTAGGGATACAGATATATACATATTACAATCAGCAGATTACAAAATATAACCACTTGTAACTAAATGTTTTCCCACACCTCCCCTCAAGCTGGTGAATAGGTGTTTTCCATTCCCAGCTTGGAAATAATTTTCTGAAATGTCGCACTATTGAGGCTTTTAGTCAACACATCTGCAAGTTAACCCTTGGTTGATACATATGGGGTGCAAATCAATCTACTGTCTAGCTTTTCCTTTATGAAGTACCGGTCTACTTCAATGTGTTTTGTTCTGTCATGTTGCACAGGATTGTATGTAATGCTTATTGCAGATTTATTATCACAGTAAAGTCCCATTGATCCATCTCATTTGATCTTCAAGTCTTCTAGAATAATCTTTAACCATAGTAATTCACAAATTCCTTGAGCCATTGCCCTAAACTCTGCTTCAGCACTTGATCTTGCCACCACATTCTGTTTTTTACTTCTCCAAGTTACAAGATTACCACCTAGAAAAGTGCAGTAGCTTGAGGTAGATCTTCTGTCAGTTACTGAACCTGCATAATCAGCATCTGTATATACCTCTAGTACCAACCTTGAATTTCTTTTAAACAAGATACCTCTCCCAGGATTAGCCTTCAAATAGTGTAGTACATGGTAGACAGCCTGTAGGTGTACTTCTTTAGGGCTATGCATAAATTGACTTATCATACTCACAGCATATGCTATGTCAGGTCTAGTATGTGAGAGATAAATAAGTTTTTCAACTAATCTCTGGTACATCTCCCTATCTACAGCAGTATCTTCATTAGCTTCTCCAAGCTTATGATTAGGATTTATAGGGGTACTTGCAGGTTTACATGCGAGCTTCCCAGTTTCCTTCAAGATCCATCAATATTTCTTTTTTGCAGATAAAAATCCATGACGTGAGTGGGCACTTCAATTCTTAGAAATACTTCAATTCCCTAGCTTCTTTATCTCGTTCTCTGACCCAAACACTGTTTTTAAAGACTCTTTTTCTTTTTTCTCATCTCAGTTCATTATACTCATCAACACTATACTAATAGATTGTGACCTTACCCGAATCTGAGTGCTTGATTAAACAGTGTGTGTCCCTTGACTCTGTTTATTATTTCATTCCTAGCATTACTTTTAAATCTCTCGAAACAGGCCTAGGAGACTGTTGAAGCTACTAAAGCCTTTTTCACTTGCATCTTTTTGTGTTCTAGATGAACCCCCAATCCGGGTTGAAACTTTCAT